GAATATATTTTAAGTTCCTATGGCAGGCACATCATCTTGGCAGTTTTATCAATAGCTTTAAAATTAGCAATCTGATAGCTGTGGTGAACATCGAGTGTGTTGTAATGCATGCATTCCATTATTATAAAAAGTAGCTTTTCAATTTCTCGTGTCTCACTCAGGACCAAGCAATGGTTTCTAGTAAATGATCCCCACCATCTAAGAGTCTGGCAGCAGCACCTCTTAGACAAAACACACTGCAGGCTTTAATTAAGCATTTTACAAAAGCCATTTTCCGATACTGCCAATAAAATGTCTGGGTTATTTTTACATAGTCTTAAAGCCTTAAAAAAGGTGCTAAACCAAAAATGAATTTAATTTTAAACAAGGATTTTTATGTCCCAAGGAGAGGATTTGATTTTCAAGACTTCTAAAATCTGCCTGCCTGACTGCCAAGAGCAAGTTTACTTTTTAAACAAATGAAGAGCATCTATTTCTACAGTGCTTGTTCTTCCACCTGTCTCCTGTTATCCTGTTTTGCCCACTGTGATGGTTGAGAGTAGAATATCAGATTTTATGCAGAAGGAAAAAATTGGGGCCGCACAGGTGGCTCAAAAGGGTAGGGTGCAGGCCCCATATGCCGGAGGTGGGGGGTTCAAACCCAGCCCTGGCCAGAGGAAAAAAAAAAAGGAAAAAAATTAAAATACTTTTTGCTATAACTGGCAAATGTCACTGGATTATTAGGAAAACTAGAGAATTCTAACTTGAGTAAGGAAATGATCACTACGGAAGTGTGCTGACTGCACCTTCAATTCATGTTCTTTCTTTCCAATGTTTCTGTGTGATCTAAATAGACACACACACTATATGTACGTTTGGGAGGTAAAAATGAGCTAACTCCTCCCCAGATCAGAATTAAAACATGCCATTCCAGCACAGGTTAAATTATTTTATTCTAAGAGCCACAGCCTGAAAATTACCCAAGCCCTGGCAGATGCTCCACAGCTATAATGCTCTGAATGAATACAACACAATTTGCTACTATCAAATTCAAGCAAACTTGCAATTTTTGCCCAGTCACTGCCTATAGAATGAAGGATCATCAATGGGGAAATAACAGATTAAGCACCTGAGAACAGGGAAGTGTGGCATGCTGGGTGAGAAACACTGGACTTGCAATCAGATGTGCCAGTTGAATTTGCAGCTAGCTCTGCCACTTACCTTTTTGACCACAGGAAAAGTCTCAACACAGGCTTCATTTCCATTTACTTACCATCCATCAGTAAAATAATGAATGTGAATGTGCTTTGCAAACTATAAGGCAATCTGAAACTGGAAAGCATTTCCTGAATCAACAAGTTGACAATTTAACAACAGTTCTTTTAAAATCACACAAACTATTCTCACTTCTCCCTAGACTGGTCAGCTGCATCTATTTCCCGCACCAAGATTTGGGGGTCACGCTGAGAAGCCCAAGTTTGCTCCCCAAACAGCTTCCTGCCAATGATTTGGAAGTATTTTGGTTCATGTTTGGTGATTAGGGAGAGGAAAAAAAAAAGTAAAAGATCTTATTTGAGTTTTTATACATGCATGATATTCTGGTGTGCTTAATTAAAGTCCTGGTCCTTGTTTCAAGTAGATGTTTTGCGTCGTGGTTGACATTTTTACCCAGGGAAGCATCACTCTTAAAATAGAATGAGTGCAAATGAATAATGATTATCAACAACTTTAGTTAACTTAGTTGGGTGAGGTCCTCTTTAATTGTTATAGGTCAAATGCCTCATTACTCCAAACACTGTCCAATTTGGGGACATTGAATGTTCCCTAAAATAAGTGACCCATCAGTAGTGGCTGGGAACTCCCTCCCTATGTGGAAATTTTATTCTGGTAATTTGTAATAAATAAGATCAATACAATAAAACCCTTAGCATCTATTATTTGTAGCAACAGATTTGGCAGTAGAACACTCAAGAGCCTAGGCTTCCTTCATGGTGATTAACAATGTCTAAAATTTCAAAAGCTAATAGGGACAGTTTGGTTTTTTGCTTTTTAATACCAAGTGGTATTATAACAATTACTAATTTGGTTGACCAATTTTCTCACCTCTCCTTAAGCTGGCCTTTTTATCCTCCTATCTCTTGAATAAAAGATCAGGACAAATTTCACATTTTCATGTCAAGTACTTTTGAAGTATGAATTCTACATCAGGTAAGGTGGTAAAAGAAGCAAAGAGTCATACAGTGATTAAGCGTCAGACTAAACTACATGAAGAGATCAGAACTAGAAAGCCCCGAACCCTGAAGAACCATGTAAAATATTTTAAGTGAAAATAAAGACTATCTGAAAAGTGGGACTTGAGGATAGAGAATTTTAATTTAGCTTTCTGATACGAGAAGTAATAATAACAAAAATAACAATAACAACAACACTGGTAAAAACTACATAATAATTCATGTTTAGCACTATGTGCCAGCACTGTTCTGCACTTTCCATAAATGAAAATTATCATTTGAGACACATAACTTCTGATAAAGACGGGACTCCCTTTTTTTTATTTTCTAACATCATCTTTTTTTTTATTTTAGTGTTAGGAAGATGAAGAAAGATCAGAAATGAATGAAAATTGTTAGATAGCTTCATAGTAAAAAAGTGATCAAAATCATTCAGCCTGTTCTTAACATATCACAGACAACATTGTACCATACAGTTTACATTAAAATGGTAACCAATGTCATTTCCTGAAATGGAAAATGTTTCACCACCACCACTATCACCCCTTCCTCCAACCATTCCTTTTAATATTATAACAAATTTTGTGCAGGAGTCACCCTCAGGACCAATTATCTTTCAAGAAACTAAATTGTCAATTTAAACTGTTGAAATTTCACTCCAGTATCAATCCAATGACACTATGAAAATATTTTACGTTTATAAAATGTTTTAACATTCCAAAGTGCTTCCACATTGGTTCTTACATTTCAACCTAAGCTCCTGCCTCCCTGTAAGATACAGCCTCCTTGCTGTAGTCACTCAAAGTTAGGAATTTCCTCAATAAACAATACATTTAGAGAAGACTAAATCTTTAAAATATCTACAAAGTCAAAAATCAGTGATTTATGCTAAGATAATGATCACTGGATCTAGATAATCCTTGCGAAGTTGGGAGGTTTTGGTTAGGACCACTGAGATTTCACTATTATTAATATTTGATTAAATAAAGATTAGAGTATTGGAAACTATAGACAAACCTCTATGAAAACTCATCCTTTTGAATATGTTACAGGGACAGGCAGCTATGCATCATCTCCATCAAAATTATACATGGTGTTTTCAGTTAGGCTCAAACAATAGCTTGAGACCAATTCCAGGTGTGCTTTACAGAATAAAATAGATGTGTTCCTCAAAAGCTGATTATGAATTAAATTCTTGGAAAAGGAATTATATGTTTTAAATGCATGGTTATAATAGCAGTAGTGATCCTGTGTGTGTGTGGGGTGTGTGTGTGTGTGTGTGTGTGTGTGTTGGAGTGGGAGCTCACCATTTAAAAGAGATCTAAATAGAATCCTTTGGCAAGCCAAAGCATCCTTTTGTTGTTTTAATGATCACTCTTTAATGTGTCCACGCTGCAAATGTGAGTTTTTGTGTGGCAAGTTTTCTATAGCAGGGAGAGAAAGGGGAGGTGGGGGGCTACACCTGCACTAAATAGGGAGCTTGTTAGGTGACTGTTGTGATCAGTCCCCAACTTGTTCTGCCTGATCAAGCACAGTGGGCAGAGATCCAATCACAAAAGCATTCCACAAAGCAAGCAAAGCAAAAATCTTCACTAAACTGACCACTGGAATGAAAACTGCTGGGGTCCATCCCTTCTCTTCACTGGGAAAGAAGCATATTCTACTGAAGAGGGAAGAAGTTGAGACTATGGAGACATCTTCTGCAATCATTTCACAATGCCTCCAGGCACACAAATGACAGACAATACTGCACAATGTGGTACACAAAAGATTTACTCTAAGTCTTATTTTCAAGCCCAACAGCTCCTTCTCCTTCTCACTTCTTCCTCTGGGAAAGGAGCCCTTTAATACCTTCCTCTGTTCCAGGGTAGGGTGTCCCTGGGGTCAGGTCTTCCCCCAACCTTATCTTGCTTTCCCAGAAGATACACCAACAATTCTTTATTTGAAAAGCTGTTTAGACCTTTGAAACAATATTCATATCAATTATCATTTTATTACCAAAACCGCTTTTGGAAGGGTGTAGGGATAAAAGGAGAAAATGAGGCACAGCATATGTGATTGCCAGTCACCACTACTAGTTTCTGGAATTTAACCTGTGTAAAAACAACAACAATAAAATCAACAGAAAAATACATTCCAGAGCCACATACTGTCTTCTTTTAATCACCTGCTGTTTGGGATTATTCATGTTTTATTCTCTTTACATATTCATCCTAACAATTTGATTCAACCTTCTTGGTAAGGCACAGCAAGCTAGCATAACAATGACTGTTTTTTAAAAATAACTTGCAGAGCATATCCTTCCCAAAGGTAAACAGTTGATTGCTGCTGCTTAATATTCTGTGCTATAATTAAATTTCTACATTTAAATATGGGCATTTGTAGAAAAGCAGCTCTTAGTTGTTCCTCTGAAAATGAGGTGATGGAACTCAACTCACGATCTGGATGTCCTGCTTTGCATTATCATTTACTGATGGGGAAGAATGTTAAAAAGCATCCTCATGCTACATGTCCTGTCCTTGAGTTTTAGCTACTCTTAAGAAACAGAGCCAATGTTTAAGCGATAATTGGTTCTGTCTAGATAAAGACATTGATGATTAGATAAAAACTTAATTTTTGCCAAGATCGAAAAGGCATTGTGTGAATAATTAAACCTGAATCCTACCCTCCACGTTAAAGAGCGCCAATTAATGAAATATCCCTAACACTGTCATAGCACACTGATTCATTAAAACGTGACTATTAATTTTAGGGAAATTAATTTTAAATTACTAACCTCTTTTGGGAGAGTCAGAACTTCTTGTCAGGTCTGGCAAAGTCCATTCTCACGTAAATGTCGTCGTCGTCGTCTTGGTCGTTGTCAGAATCTTCTCTCTCTGGGGGTCTTGGCACCCAGCGACGAGGTGGGGGGGGAGGAACGGGAGCGGCGGCGGCAGCAGCGGCGGCGGCGGCAGCAGCAGCAGGGGCAGCGGCAGCGGCAGCACCAGGCCCGCCCGCCGCGTTTTCACCTCCGACAAGGTCTGCAGATGGGTTTTGGGCTCCCAGGTTCGAGACCCGGGCTCTGTCCTGGGCCCCTCTCACTGCTTCGGCATCTGCAGCATTAGCAACAGGTGGAAACCAGCGGGCGGAGGCTGAGTTAAATCCAAAGGCGGCCTCCCAGCCGGCGGCTGCTGAGCCGATGCCCGGGGCCACAGCGAGAGCGGAGGCCACTGCTAAGGCCCGGCCCACGGCTAAGGGCGTTGCTGCCAAACCGGCAGCCACGGCTGAGAAGGCGGAAAGGTCTCCCTCGAGACTGTCAGTTGGAAAAGCAGAGACAGCAGCTCTGGAGGCTGCAAAGAAACTTTGCGAGCGGCTTTGTGGGCGTCTTCTATTTTGCTCTTCGTGCTGCAGCAGCCTAGCTACAGGTGGTGGTTCAGAGCATCGGCTGGGGGAGAGAGAAATGTCCATACAGCACTCAGAAAATGGGTCGACCACATAGATTCGACCTGTTTCAGCATCATAGCGAATGGCACTGTCAGCAAAAGGCACTGCTGGTGTCATTGCTGGGTTGAAAATTACTTCAATGTAGTCACCCTCTTCCTCATTAGCATTGCTACCTGTAGCACTGGGAGGAAGAGGAAGAAGTGGCCACCTAGCACCATCCAGAAATAGGGGGTTGGCACCTGGTATAGCTCTTAAAAGATCTGAGAAGTTGCTTGCTGGATTTGGAAATGGCACTCCAAACTCAACATTCACGTAAGGAGAAAAGGCTGACTGTCTGGGGTTAGCAATTATGCCCCACGAACCTGGCAGTCCTTGAGGAGAGGGAGCTGGCATATCACTATCTCTTTCAGTGAAGTCAATGTTAACATAGTCACTAGAGCTGTCAGCTTCTCTCTGCTCCTGTGTGGGACTTTCTGAGTTTGGGTTGATTTCATTTCCTTTTGTAATAAAAGATAGTAGGTTAGGTCTCTCAGCCTTATCATTTGAGGGCTCATCATCCAAAGGCTTTGAAGGTGACCCCCCATCTCCAGGCTTTGAGAATAACCCCTCAACTGGCTGGTTTGAAGCTGCATGTTCGGGGCCCCAGTTAGAGGCTTCTTTGTCTAGGCCCCTCCCCAGGGACTTTCCAGGTAACATTGGTACATACTCACTGCGGTCGCTCTGTCCCAAAGGGGAGCTCCGAAAAGGATTTGGCAGCGAGAAGTAGGAGCTCCAACTTTTGGAGGAAGAGCCACCCTGAGGGTTCCTGGGGTTTTTTGGAATTGCACCAGCTCCAGGAGCCATAAACATGTAGTCACTGTCACTGTCATTGTCATTGTCCTTTGAATCATCCTCTTTATCAGGATCTGGTGTTTTTGGAGGACTTGGAACAGGTGGTGGGCTCACTCTGGGGAACATCATCATGTACCCCCTTGAATCTTCAAAAGGTGATCGAGAATGACGTTTTGAAGCAGAGACATTTTGAGGAGCCATTGGCATGTAATCACTGGAGCTCGCAAGAGGGGCAGCCACCCCTGGCCTCATTGGCACATATGGGTCATCTTCATCTTCATCAAAAGCTCTGGGTCTGTAGGGACCCCGAGCTGCACCTTCTGGGATCTCTGGATCTTTCATTTCTCTGGCTTCTTTTCGTTCTTTTGCGGCTCTGTCAGCACAAAAATAAAGTCGGAATCTTCCCCCTGACTTCCCTTTCCCCGCAGTTGCTCCAGTTGGAGGGGATGGGGGCGGTGGTGGTGGTGGTGGTGGTATTTGCTGTGGCTTGCTTTGAGAGAATTTGCCAAAGTAAGATCTTTTCTTCAGAGATTTCCCACTTCCTGAGCCCTTGCCCCTTCCAGACTTCTTACCACTACCTGAACCACGGCCATCTCCAGGTCCTTGGCCACGGCCTGAGCCGTGCCCACCTCCAGCTCCCTGGCCACCACCTGAGCCATGACCACCTGCAGCGCCCTGGCCATCTCCTGAGCACTGGTTTCCTCCTGCACCTTGGCCTCCTGAACCCTGGCCACTTGAGCCCTGGTTGCCACTTGAGCCCTGGCCACCGCTGGATCCCTGTCCCCCACCTGAGCATTGGTTTCCTCCGGAGCTCTGGCTGCTGGAGCCTTGGCCGCTTGAGCCCTGGCCACCTCCTGAACCCCGTCCATTGCCTGAGCCCCAATTGTTCATGGGCATGTAGTCACCTCCGCTTTCTTCTTGATTTTCTTTGCCTTGAGGATTCTCCTCCTCTCCAGAGTTACCAGAGCCAGCTGCTTCGGGAGACAGGCAAGCTCTGTCGTTCCGGGCTTCTTCAGGCTGCGGGGCACGTACAGGACTGGGGGTTAAGCGGCGGAAAATGCTGGCCGGCACTGAAACCGCTCTCCTGGACCTTCGCTCTCTGGGCAGGTGCAGTCTTCCTTGCCTGGAGGGGGGCAGAGGCTCGCTGGGTGCTCCAAAGCGCCTGGTGAAGAGCATCTCATCTTCCTCATCACCCTCACTCTCACCTTCACCGAGGGCCCGGAGGTGGCGAAACTGATCAAAGCGGGACCTTCTGAGCCAGCCGCCGGGTTCAAGCGGCAGCAGGCCCAGGTGCCTCCTAGCGGACAGCAGGGTTAACAGGTGGGCGCCGATGTTGATGCTGTAACTGCGGCAGCGGGCTCTGTATTCGTCTGCACACAAGGCTCGCATCTTCTCCAAAAACAGCTCGTGCATGTTTTGGGCCACCACACAGTCATCAACCTGCATCCAGAGCTCTCCTGGACCGATGACGGTGGACCTACCGACTTCCAAGAAGAAATACTGCTCCGAGTGCCCGCAGCGACGGATGCTCAGGAGCTGGACGACCACGCTGGCCACTTCGGTGTTCAGCCTCACAAACACGACCTCTTCGTCGGTAAGACACAGCCGGAACACGCCGCTCAGCTCTTTTTTGTGCCCCAGCCCCCTGGGTTTGACTATTACCTGCCACACATCTTTATAGAAGGGTGGCTCCACCGCCGCTGCGGCCGCCAGCGCGGCCGGCTCTCCGTCCGGCTGTGCGCTGAGCGTGCCGCAGCGGCGGCGTTTGCTCTCGAGGATGAGGCGGCTGAGCAGCAAGTACCAGCTTTCTTGTTCCGACTCGTTCTCGGCCACCATCGCGAAGTACTCGTCCTGGGTGAAAAGGGCAATGAGGTGTCGGTACCTGGCATCTGCTCGCTGGCTCACAGAGAAGCACTGGTAGAGGGTGATTACGCGCCGCGGCGGAATGAGAGCCGGGACCGCGGCGCCCGAGGCGGCCGCTGCAGCTGCAGCGGCGGCGGCGCGGACGCTGTGCCGGAACTTCCTGGCGTTTTCGTAGTATTCCAGCCGGGCCGGGGCGTCGGCGGTCTCGAGTTTAAGCACGAAGTAGCGCCTGTGCCCATGCTTCTGCTTCCTCAGGTAGCCGCGTTTGCAGACTTCGGCCCCGACGGGCAGATCTTCCTCTTCAGACTCGGAGTCTGACCGAGAACCTGTGGCTGGAGAGAGCCACATGGCTCCCGGACAAGACGACCCGGTCCCAATGAGTGCGGTCGCGGTTCCTGGGGAAAGAAGCGGGGTGGTCGTGGTCGGCACTGCTGCTGGAGCTGGAGCTGGAGCTGCTGCTGCTGCTGCTGCTGCTGCACCTCTCAGTCTCCTCGTCGCTTGGTCGCGAGCGAAGGAGCAACTCGCCATGGTGATGCACGGTGGTTTTAAGGTGAGCGAAAGGGAGGGGGGACTCGGGGAAGGGAGGGCCGAGGGAGGCTGTCTCCCCCCCGTCCGCCCGCCCCAGCCCCCTCCCGCCTGAGCTCTCGCCCCCGCCCACTCCACACTGCGCGCGGCAGCGGGCAAAACAACACGTGACCACTGCCTCACGCGGCGGCCGCTGCGGATTCTGCTACCTGCGCAACGGAGGGGCTCGAGGGGCCACCCATAGAGGTGGGCAACGGCTGGGGCGGTGGGCCTGGGAGGCGGAGCCACCCCCAGCTGGGCTGGGACCCTCTCGGTGAATCTCCGGACCTGGGGGCTGCTGGAGGACCCACAGGAGGGGGCGAGGATCTCTGGCCGTAGGATCCTAACAAGAAATCTAAGGCATGAGGAGGGGCGGGACAAGGCCTGGAGGGCTCTGGAGAGACGCTGGACACCAGGGCCAGGCGGGGGCGCCACAGTCAGGCTGGACGGGCTGGAGGGGGCGAGAGGTGGTGGGAGGGGCGGAGCACAAGCGGCATTGGAGGCGCCAGGGAGCGGGGCTGGCATCCTCGCGGGAAGGTTTGTTTGTTTTATTTGGGAAGCGGGAGCCAGGTGAAACTGTTACAAGGCTGTGATTGGTTGGGATTGGAGCCAATGGGAGGGCCCGGCAGGAAGACGGCCCCCGAATTCATTACTTTGGCAGGAGGGAGGGGAGCGAGGGGGCGTGGCTGGGGGCCTGGAGGGGCTTGGCTGCCCCCTTGGTGTGCTCAGGCGGTAAACAACCCTCCAGCAAGTAGTTGTTAATGGAGGTGATAAACTCTTGCAAATCCCAGCGCTTTAGCGACCCGCACAGGCTGGAGCGTCCCCCCTACTCCCTGTCGCTCACTTAAATTTTCTATTCCCGTCAGGGTCTATTGCACTCCCTTCTGCCGCGCACCACGGGCCGATCTTCTTCGGAGAGAAAGCACCCTCAAAAAACGTGTTAACGACCTGGGGCCTTAGACCTACCGCCCACCGCGCTGCAGGCAATCCTGAGCCCGCGCCGCCCCTGACAAAAGCCCGCGACTCCAGTGCACGCAAATAATAGCAATTCCTTAAAAATCAACAGAGTCTCTAACCAGACTGCATTTCTAGCCCACGAGGCACAGGTTCGTTAAAGATTTTGCTTCTGGCTATCTCTGATAAGAAAGCCCAAATTTGGGGGCCTGCACAGTGTACAGCCATGTTGAAAAAAAAATAGGGCTGGATTCTTACTGCAATACACCAGTGTTGAGCTGTCATGATATTTTTCTGTGGAAGATGCTTTGAAAGGTGCCTTTAAAGGAATCCCAGAATATCGAGTTTCTCTTTCTTTGCGTGAGACTGAAAAACTTTAGAAAAATAAAGCTCCAGAGCTTGTATCTAGAACAAAGGACCATGCTGAGTACATACTCCAAAATATATTTAACATCCTCGCGTCAAAAAAAGAAGATCTTTGCTACATTACAGTTTGCAAGTTCTGCATTTCAAAACTACTGCCTCCCTTTTTTTCTGGGAAAACTGCTGGAGTGTAAGTGCAACCTCCTGAAGTGTTTTCTTTCCCTCTCTCCCTCTTTCCCCCCATTGCCTCCTCTTCCCCCTGTGCCTCCTATTCCCCCTGTACCCCCTCTCCCCCCTCTCCCTCCTCTTCCTCCTCTTCCCCCTCTTCCCTCTTTCCCTGTCTCCAGTTTCCCTCTCTCCCCCTCTCCCCTTTCCCTCTCCCCGCTTTCCCTCTCCCTCTTTCTCCCTCTCTCTCTCCCTCTCTCTCCCTCTTGCCTTTCTTCTCTTCCTTCCTCTCTCCCTCTCTCCCCCTTTCTCCCTCTCACACACTCTCCCTTTCTTTCTCCCTCTCTCTCCCCTTCTCTTTCCCTCTCTCTCTCTTCCCCCTCTTCCCCAATCCCCTCCCAGTTTATCTTTGAATAGGATTTCAGATTCTTGAGGGTGGAGATGATCCTGAGGTGTCAACGAAGTGATCACATTTGCAAAGAAGGATTTTGGAGAGGGGAAAGGGAAGACATTTGGTATTTTTCTCAGAGTGAATGGAATTCCAGTTCATTATTGCCTTAGTATTGATACCGCCAATGGTGTTATGTATAAAATTTATCAGTAGACTAGGCAGTGAATATATCATAAAAATAGACCCCATCTTTACCCTTTTAAGAATTTGCTTTTTGTTAGAAACAGAATAAATGTATTTGAATAATTGGCTCCTTTTAATACTCTGGGGGAAAATTGGTTTGGTTGCCTCTAAAATATTAGAAACAGTCATTAACATTCCCTTAGCTGAGAATGGTTTATAAGTCCAGCATTATCCACGTGTGGTTTCTGAAAGGAGATGGAAGCAGAATGAGTATGGATGCTGCAAGAGCCCTGACTCCACTGCTCCCCACTTGTTTCAGCTGTACTTGTTTCAGCTGTGTGGGCACATATGTACAAGATTCACTGCACTTACCACTAAAACGATAATGAATATTCTCATTTGGGATTTTTATGGTAGGCATTATAAAAAACAAGGTTTTGCATTAGATAGATGTGTGAAAACAAAATGCTTGAAATAATAACATGATATTTTAGAATACATTGAAAACATTAAAATGTGTATGAAATGAAATTTACAAAATACTGAAGAGATTTTAAAAATCTGCGAGGCTTAAAAAATATCTCTATAATTTTGCATCCTGTTCTTTTTACTTAGGATTACATGGTAACATTTCCTCACATTATGAATCAGCCTACACATAATTTAAAATGCATAATAATATTCTACACAGCTAATGTATATTAATATACTTAATGAGCCCTATGCTTTGGGGTATTTAGATGGTTTGCAATTCTTTGATATTGTAAATAATGCTGCAATGAATATCTTGTACCCACAGCTTAGCTTTTTATGTTTAAAGTAACTCTTTGGGTAGAAACTGAGAATTGGAATTAATGGGCTAAAAGGTCTAAAGATTTGATACATCATTTTAAAAAAAAATGTATCAGTTTACTCTGTCACCACACCGATTGCCAGCATTGGACATTTCTTAGTTTTGAAAAATCACTGATAAGATGGGTGAAATGGCATTCTGTTCTTTTAATTTGCATTTTGTTTACTAGTGAGAGAAAACATTTCTGTATATTTACTGACAATGTATTATCTTCTGTAAGGTGTCTATGTCTTCTGCCTTATCTATTGGAGTCTCAGTATTTTTTTTTATCATGTGTGATTTGTTCACATAATAAATATGTTAAAACTTTTTCGTATTTGTCACAAGTTTATTTCCCAGTCTATGGATATAAAACATAGCACTCAAACCTAATTCCCTTCTATTTTGAAAGACGTGTCAGTTTGGCACAATTCAGCTTGTCATGCAGTTTAAAAGGGAGCTGTTGATAAGCACAAATGTCACCATGGTCACTTCTAACCTTTTAAAAGATCTCATATATTTAAGATTATACCCTCTTTTAAAGGAAAAACTAAGTTTTTTTTCTTATCAACAAACTAGGTTAAATTTATCTATCACTCTTAAACAAAACTTTATTATTTTTTATTCTAGGGGAAAATACCTATCACTAGCCAATGTGTTAGAAAAGAGTGTGAACATAATTTTTAAACAATTACAGTGAAAGAAAGATTAACAGTGCCAATCATCTTGTACCCAAGGTATATTATTTGGCTCCAGCAAAGTGGAAATAGAGATAGAGTGAGATGTCTCATTTTACTTTGTATGTTTACTATACTGGCAGATACAAATACTTGTGAACAGGAAGACTATCAGACTAGAAGAACATTATCTTCTTCTTCCTATAGGTCAACCAAACCTCCTCAGTTCTAAAGTTGTTTCAGCACTGAAGCTCTCTGGAAGAGATCATTTTTACTGAATTGTACCAGATGCTGCAGCTTGTCTGATATATACCTCAATTTTCTTCTTGGACAACTTAATGATATTGAATGGCCATTTACTAATAGTTTAGGTCAGATCCCCATAGGCACAATAAAACAGACGCCTAGGTGGTGTAGACACAAAGTAGAGACTTTGCATTTAGCCTGAATTCACCAGGTGGTTGCTTTAATGCTCTATACTCATCTTTGGTTATAGATTCCTGTCTCAGAATTTTTTGTTGCTCTTTTTAGGATCAAGTTACCCTAGAAAGCAAAAGTAGCTTTTCATATTCAGTTGTAGCATCTCTAAAGTTTGGACTCTGAACCAAGAAGAAGACACACAAATTTTTAAAACGAGGGATAAGAAATAGTAAAACGTATAATATTTGGTTTGCCAGTTTAGCTGAGAGAAAAAAAAAATGCAAGCGCTGCAGCTGGTGTTTTACATAAGCCAAGGTAAATGAATAAAGTGCCACAGTACCTTTAAAACAGATTCCATCTAATGAAGAAATATACTTTTAATGCAGTTTGCCTTTATAAGGAATTTTATGTGAATCTCATTTTTAAAAAACAATTGTTTGACTGATGGACTAGTCAGTGATAATAAAAACTCACCTGCTTCTGTCTTTACTTACATGATCATCAGTATTCCAAAGTCAACTTGTACTAAAATCAGAATGGATCCTTGAAGTGTGGATTTTCTTAGCTTAAAAACCAAACTGTTGCATCAAATACGAATGACATTATTTGTGAGAGTAAACCCTAATAGGAAAAGTCACTTGAGTAAAAGAATTATTATTCTTACCCAATGTATAAATTATTCTCTGAGTATTAACTCTGTAATTTTTGTGAGCTAACTTCCAATTATGTTGATAACAAAATGTGGTGCTAACCTTGGTTTTAAAAAATGTCAGTGATAATGACTGCTTTCTCTGTGTTTTGACATAAATAAAATCATGTACAAAGAAAGATGCTTTCTGCTGCACTATGCAGGATTAAGTACTGCCCTGTGATTTGTGGCTGCAAGCCACTGTTTGTAGGTGATGGCTTTGCTTCTCTGCTTTTTCACTTCTATGCTACTCAAAACCTCTGCTGGAGAAAACAACCATCAAATGCCTGACTGCTGCACACAGAAT